TATGATATCCGTAAATGTTATATTATAAAATTATTATTATTATTATTATTATTATGTTATTTTGTATTATCCGTGAATGTTAGCAACTGGACAAATTGAATGCAGCGGTCAAGGGAAAGCGACCAGAATTGGTCAATCGTAAAGGTGTCATTTTCCAGCAGGACGATGCTAGGCCGCACACGTCTTTGTCCACTCGACAAAAATTGATGAATATTGCTTGGGAATTGATGTTACACCCACCATATAGTCCTGATCTCGCGCCATCGGATTACCACTTATTTCGATCCCTGGACAACTCCCTTCGTGGTAAAACTTTTAATGATGATGACGCTGTAAAATTACACTTAACTCAGTTTTTGGCCGAAAAGGATCAGACTTTTTGCGAGCGTGGAATTTTCAAGTTGTCAGAGAGATGGCAAAAGGTCATCGAACAAAATGGAAAATACATTACAGATTAAACTTCGTTCCAAGTAAAAAAATGTTTTATTTCATTGAACAAATCGGCAATTACTTAGTTGCCAACCCAATCGAAATTATTGTTAAACCTTCCGAAATTTGTACACTGCTCGACAAAATTGTAGCGTAGAAAAATGTTGGATTGAAATTGGTCAACTTCGACCGACGATAACTCCGCGAAAAATCATCATAGGATGATGGTCTTTCTTTCAAATTAAAGCTTGAAGCCTTTGCTTTTAGATAATGTTTCTGGATTTTAAGTTTGTTGCGTCCTTATCAACGTAACCCTTTAAATGTGTGGCCATGTTTGGCATACTGAAAATTAACAAGTTTTACGAAATGTACGAAGTATGACGAGCATGGCCTCACATTTAAAGGGTTACAGTGGTGAGAATGCATCAATCGTAGAATCCAGAAATATTATCTTAAAATAGGGGTTTCAAGCTCTAATTTTTAGAAAAGAGTCATCATCCTACGATGATCTTCCGCGGAGTTATCGTCGGTCAAAGTTGACCAATTTTTATACACAATTTTTCTAGACTATAATTTTGTTGAGCATCTTTTCTACATTGATAACAAATTTGTTTGTATTGTAGAAACGCACTAAGACATATAAAACGGTAATACTGCAGGCCAGAAAGAAAGACGAACTGGTAGTCTGTGGATTTTTATGCAAAATAATAATAATTAATATGATAATAATATAATTATATAATAATAATTATGATTATTATTATAATTATTATTATATACTATTGCAATTATTATATATAATATATAATATTATTACGATTAATATATAATAATAACTAACTTATTTATAATAATAATTTTAATCAATTCAAAATAGATGCATTGATATTTCTTAATTCTCTTAACCTTTCTAGTTTCTTAAATTTCAACTACTACTAAATTTTCTCGTAAATGCATAAAGTCTGCTGTCTATTAAATAAAAAACATAGTGTCCAATAAAAAAGGGAAGACTGTTAATAAAAATCTATCGATTTAAGATAGAAAGATTTACAAAAAATTGCATTTTAATTTACCCGTCAAAAAGACGGATTTCAGTACAAATACATAGGTGGTATATACATATACATAAAGTCTCGATACCCGTAAATCTAGCGTTAAAACTGATGCACGTCAAACCGCAGCTGCAACTTCATTTGGCCAAATCACCAAGTGTACCATAACCTTTGACACAGAAGTATCCACGCAACACCGTCATGTACGGTTTATACCTGCTGGACATTTATGTATCGGAGTTGCTGTTAAACAAACAGGTATTCACGGATGTGGAAGGCTCGGAGCTGATGGTGAGAGTCGTCGTCGTCGATCTGCCGGTCGCAGAAATTGTCCAGCGCAAACAATTCGTCAAGGACGAAAACGTCCACGTGTTCCAGTTTTCGAATGGCTGGACCTGTCATTTTTCAGCGGTATGCGAACAGTTGGTAAAAGCGTTGAAGCGGATGCGAGTACACTTCGGAATTTTTCGAAAAGGCGACAATTATCCTATTTGCAGCGTTCGCTCGTACCTTACTGGCTGCGCTTGCGATTTGGTGAGGAACTGATTTGCTTCTTGCACTATATTTTTAATTTTCTTCATTACGTTATATTCATCAGTATTGTTCACATTATTATATTTTTTAGAATTTTTTGTACTATATTTTAAATTTTCTTGACCTTGTTGTATTCTTGAGTATTTTTGACATTATTATATTTTGTTGTATTTTCTGCATTGTGTTTTTCAGTTGCTTCGATTCTGTTACATTTTTCAAAATTTTCAAGATTTTCTACACTATTACATGTTTTTTATTATGCTTATTATATTCTTCAACACTTTTGCATTTCTCTGTTATTTTTCATTGCTGTTATACGTGTTAATTATTTTTCAATGCCATTATGCTTGTCAATTATTTTCCAATTCTATTACATTTATCAATGAGTTTTCAATGCTGTTTTATACTTATCAATTCTTTTTGCTATTGCTATTCCATTTTTCAATTTTCTTGCTTTCTCAATATTTTGTGCTTTCTCAACACTATTACTACAACGTTGAGTCACTTAACTACCTAATTAGAATTAAACATATCTCCAGGACTACATATCTTTATTTTCTATTGTCACTTCATTTTGAAAATTCATTTTTTTTCATTTCATGAAACTATTATCGAATATAGAACATGCAATATAGAACATACAATATAGAAAGTGTAATAATAAATATCCCAGTAAATATTGATGCTTAATTAATTAATATTTACGTATGTTCAATCTTCAGTATAATTGATCTATTTATTAAATCAGGATAACGTTTGAGTAGTAACAAAATTTATCGTTTGCAGAATACTTTGAAGGTGGACAAGCCGAAATCGTTCATGTTTAGAGGACCATTTGACCTTGTTGATTCTGGCCGAAGCTTTGCAGGACAGTTGGATGCTACCATTACCATCTCTAACTTGGGAAGGTAGTACGCATTTTTGTTAATTGCTCATTCATTCTAAAATTAATAGACATTTTTAAAAAATTGTTTTTTATTGCTTAAACAATTGTTGAAACTTTTCAGTGACCATGAAAAAATATTTTAGACGAAAATTATACATAAAATGTTAGAATATTGGGACAAGTTATATACACAATATATGTTTTCTAATTTTTCACACATAATAGGAAGTGACATGAGCTGATCTATGTAATATTTTTTGATATAATATTTTTTTTAATTTACATT